AGATATAGTGGTGAAAATAAATAATCTTTAAAAATGGGCAAAAGATCTAAATATCTCACCAAAAGATATACACAAGGCAAATAACCATAAAGAAAAGATGTTCAACAGCGTATGTTATTAGGAAATTGTTAAAACAATGAGATACCACTACACACTTACAGATTGGCCAAAGAAAAACAAACAAACAAACAAACAGGCCAGAAGTTAGCTCAATAGTATGGGAAAAGACCAAGTCTGATCCCCAGCACCAAAAAAAAGAAAGGCAAAAATCCAAAACACTGCTTACCCCAAATGCTCTCAGGGACTCTTATTCATTATTATAAGGAATAGTACACATACTTTGGAAGACAGTGTCTTACAAGCAAAATATAGTCTTACTATACGATCTAGTAATTGTGCTCCTTGGTATCTACCCAAAGGATGTGAAAACTTATTTTCCACAAAAATCTACACACAAATGTTTATAACAGCTTAACGAATAATTGTCAAAACTTGGAAGTTTATCAATAGGTGAACAAATCAACAAACGGAAGCACATCCATATGATGGAGTAATATCCAGCAATAGAGATGAGCTGTCAAGTCACAGAAAGAACCTTAAATGTATATTTCTAACTGAAAATCAATCTGAAAAGACTCTACATTGTACAATTCCAACTATAAGGCATTATAGAAAAGGGAAAACTACAGAGACAATAAAAAGATCATTGGCTGTCAGCAGGTCAGAGAGGAGATAAATGGTAGAGCACAACATATTTATAGAACAATAAAATTATTTGATACTGTAATGGTGGATATATCATTATTTGCCAAAATCTACAGAACATAAAACCTAAGAGTGAAACCTAAAATAAAACTATGGGTTTCAGTTAATAATAATGTATCAATAATGGCTAATCAATACATATCCAATGCAAGATGTCAGTAATAGGAGAAATGGTAAGGGAAGGAGTTGTAAGGCTATATGAAAACTGTAGTTTCTGCTCAATTTGTCCAGAATGGCATACCACTTCACACCCACTAGGTTGGTCTTAATCTAAAAAACTGAAAAATTACAAATGTTGGTAAGAATGTAAAGAAACTGGAACCCTTATACATCACTTTTTTTTTTTTGGTGGTGCTGGGATTTGAACTCTGGGCCTCAAGCTTGCTAGGCAGACACTCTTATCACTTCACCCATTCCACCAATCCTTTTTTGTGTTGGGTATTTTTGAAACAAGGCCTCTCAAACAATTTGCCCAGGCTGACTTTGAACAGTGGTTCTCCTGATCTTTGCCTCCTGAGTAGCTAGGATTACAGGCATGAGCCACCGGTGCCAGGCTACAGCTAATGTGGAAAACAATTTAGTAGTTCCTCGAAAAGAAAAAGTTAAACATAGAACTAGCATATGACTCGGCAATGCTACTCTTAGGTATAATCCCTAAAAAACTGAAAATAGGTACGAAAATACTTACACATCATAGTAGTACTATTCACCATAGCTAAAACGTGGAAACCTCAATGTCCACCAATAATGGATGAATAAACAAAATGTACTAGCATATCCAAATAGTGGAATATTATTCACCTATGAAAACGAACTACTGGCACATGCATACATCTACAAGTTGTATGAACTTTGAAAATTTTATGCTACATTAAAGAAGCCAGAAACTAAAGGTCACATTATATGATTCTATTTATATGAAACACCCAAAATCAGTAAATCTACAGATATAGAACTCAGACTAGTGGTTGGCAGAGTCTAGGGATAAGGAGAAATAGGGAGTAATAATTTTTTGAAGGTAATAAAAATGTGTTCTAGGCACAAGAGGCCACGAATAGCCAAGGCAATACTCAGTCAAAAGAACAATGCAGGAGGTATCACAATACCTGACTTCAAACTATATTACAAAGCAATAATAATAAAAACAGCATGGTACTGGCACAAAAACAGACATGAAGACCAGTGGAACAGAATAGAGGATCCAGATATGAAGCCACACAACTATAAGCAACTTATCTTTGACAAAGGAGCTAAAAATATACGATGGAGAAATAGCAGCCTCTTCAACAAAAACTGCTGGGAAAACTGGTTAGCAGTCTGCAAAAAACTGAAACTAGATCCATGTATATCACCCTATACCAAGATTAACTCAAAATGGATCAAGGATCTGAATATCAGACCCCAAACTCTTAAGTTGATACAAGAAAGAGTAGGAAATACTCTGGAGTTAGTAGGTATAGGTAAGAACTTTCTCAATGAAACCCCAGCAGCACAGCAACTAAGAGATAGCATAGATAAATGGGACCTCATAAAACTAAAAAGCTTCTGTTCATCAAAAGAAATGGTCTCTAAACTGAAGAGAACACCCACAGAGTGGGAGAAAATATTTGCCAACTATACATCAGACAAAGGACTGATAACCAGAATATACAGGGAACTTAAAAAACTAAATTCTCCCAAAACTAATGAACCAATAAAGAAATGGGCAGTGAACTAAACAGAACTTTCTCAAAAGAAGAAATTCAAATGGCCAGAAAACACATGAAAAAATGCTCACCATCTCTAGCAATAAAGGAAATGCAAATTAAAACCACACTAAGATTCCACCTCACCCCTGTTAGAATAGCCATCATCAGCAACACCACCAACAACAGGTGTTGGCGAGGATGCGGGGAAAAAGGAACCCTCTTACACTGTTGGTGGGAATGTAGACTAGTACAACCACTCTGGAAAAAAATTTGGAGGCTACTTAAAAAGCTGGACATCGATCTACCATTTGATCCAGCAATACCACTCTTGGGGATATACCCAAAAGACTGTTACTCCAGAGGCACCTGCACATCCATGTTTATTGCGGCACTATTCACAATAGCCAAGTTATGGAAACAGCCAAGATGCCCCAGCACTGACGAATGGATTAAGAAAATGTGGTATCTATACACAATGGAATTTTATGCAGCCATGAAGAAGAACGAAATGTTATCATTCGCTGGTAAATGGATGGAATTGGAGAACATCATTCTGAGTGAGGTTAGCCTGCCTCAAAAGACCAAAAATCGTATGTTCTCCCTCATATGTGGACATTAGATCAAGGGCAAACACAACAAGGGGATTGGACTATGAGCACATGATAAAAGCGAGAGCACACAAGGGAGGGGTGAGGATAGGTAAGACACCTAAAAAACTAGCTAGCATTTGTTGCCCTTAATGCAGAGAAACTAAAGCAGATACCTTAAAGCAACTGAGGCCAATAGGAAAAGGAGACCAGGAACTAGAGAAAAGGTTAGATTAAAAAGAATTAACCTAGAAGGTAACACCCACGCACAGGAAATCAATGTGAGTCAATGCCCTGTATAGCTATCCTTATCTCAACCAGCAAAACCCCTTGTTCCTTCCTATTATTGCTTATACTCTCTCTACAACAAAATTAGAGATAAGGGCAAAATAGTTTCTGCTGGGTATTGAGGGGGGGAGCGGGAGGGGGTGGAGTGGGTGGTAAGGGAGGGGGTGGGGTCAGGGGGGAGAAATAAACCAAGCCTTGTATGCACATATGAATAATAAAAGAAAAATGAAAAAAAATAAAATAAAAAAAAAATGTGTTCTAGGTAGGGGTGACAGAGATTTGTATTTTTTAATTAACAAGAAACATAACATTTCATTCAGCCATTACAAAGAAGAAAAGCTAAAAAGTGAGTCAAGAAATAAGAAGGAAGTAGGCGCCGGTGGCTCACGCTTGTAATCTTAGCTATTTAAGAAGCAGAGATCAGGAGGATCATAGTTTGAAGCCAGGCAGGGCAAATAGTTAATCTTATCTCAAAAATATTCAACACAATAAAGGGCTGGTGGGGGGAGTGGCTCAAGTGGTAGAGCACCTGCCTAGCAAGTGCAAGGCCCTGAGCTCAAACCCCAGTACAGCCAAAAAAAGGGAAAAATGGAGAATATGGCAAAGGTAGATAAGAGAAAGGAAAGAAAAAATAATGTTTCAAAGAGGGTTAGAAAAAAACTCAAACACCCATCACAAAGAACAGGAACAAGGTAAAATGAGGAAAGAGATAGTAGAGCACCTGCTTTGCAAGTGCAAAGTCCTGAGTTCAAACTCGAGACCCACCAAAAAAAAAAGGAAAGAAATTCATTAGGTTCTGAAGGAAGTGTTTCAGAAAAACCACATTACTTAACTATTTCAACCCATAATTAGGAATTTCTTTGCCTCTTTTGAGGGATAAAGCATAATATAAATATGATTTAAATACTGCTCATTCATGCCAGGTGCTGGTGGCTCAGGCCAGGAGCTGGTGGCTCATGCCTGCAATCCTAGCTACTCAGGAGGCACAGATCAGGAGGATCACGGTTCAAGCCAGCCCAGGCAAAAAGTTTGAGAGACGCTATCTCGTAAAAACCCTTCACAAAAATAGGGCTGCTAGACTGGCTCAAGGTGTAGGCTCTGAGTTTTTCAACCCAAGATAACACAAAAAAAAAAAAAAAACCAAAAACCAATACTGCTTCTTTGGGACAATGATTTATTACCACTAAAACTTTCTGGGGCAGGAAGGAAGTGGCTCAAGGCAGGAGAGTGCTGCTTTACAAGCACAAGGCCCTGAGTTCAAACCCCAGTGCCATTAAAAAAAAAAAAAAAAAAAACAGCCAATTGGTATTTATGTTTGCCAGGAGCCAATGTCCCACTTGTAATTCTAGCTACTCAAGAGGTAAGAGATCAGAAGGACTGAGGATCAAAGGCCAGCCCAGGCAAATAGTTCCACAACCATATCTTTGAAAAAAAAACATCACTAAAAAAAGGGCTTGGTAGAGTAGTTCAAGGGTGTAGATCCTTGAGTTCAACACCCCTAGTTACCCCAAAAAAAAAAAAAAAAAAACCCATATTTTAAGAAAATCCAAGACAGGTGCAGTGGTATAAGGCTATAACCCAGGATTGGGAGCTGTAGCAGGAGGATTACAAGAGTGAGGGCCAGCCTAGCGGACAATAGCAGGACCTGTGCTCAGGCCCACAGATTTCTTACCGTATACACTGCCAGCAAAAGCCAACTTGATTATAGGGGCGTCCATTCTTGGAGCAATGTGCTGGCCTTCAGGCTACCAACTAAGAAGAGAAAAACAGTAAAGAAAATGCTAGTTCCATATCACCTCTTTCCCAAATTCATTTCTATAAACCCTTTACTTATTTAAGGCATAATCTGGAGGGTGAGCTCGATGTGCCCTGGAATGGTAAAGCATTGACTAAAGAGAACCAATAGTGATACGTATAGGACACCACAATGGGAATGCAGCTCAAGTGGACCACTCTTAATAGGGTTTCTCTTAATGCCACAAGGGAAGAGGAATAACCAAAACTGAGAATAGAATACCCTGCGATGCTTTCCCATAGTTTGCTGTATCATTGGCTTGCTCCCGATACCTAGCGATATCTCCTTGGCCAAAAATCATACATCGCTGGGCGCTGATCAAGGGCCATATTTTTACCTTCCGAGAGAAACAATCAATTAGATAGCAGTACCCTCAAAACACAAAACTGAACCCAAAGGGACAGGGATGCAGCCAAAACATGACAGAATAGCATTGACTGATGACAATTGTTAAGTACAAAGTTTTAGCCACCTGACTACTGCAAACACAGCCAATGCCATGACACCAATTACTGATAGAGCATTTGTGGCAGCCAGGTACGGTGGCTCATGCCTGCTAAACCTAGCTACTCTGGGAGGCAGAGATCAGGAGGACCCAGGTTTGATTGAAAGCCAAATAAGTTCTAGAGACCCTATCTCAAAAATACCCAGTACAATCAAAAGGGCTTGGCGGAAGAGGGCTTCAACTGTAGAGCGCCTGCCTGGCAAGCGCAAGGCCCTGAGTCACAGTGGCAGAAGCGAGAGAGGGTGATTCTTATGTTTGACTCTCAGGCAAAATGGATGAATGACATTCCAAAAACTAAATCAGCAGACCTGACTTTGTAATTTGTATGTGACTTCAAGGGAAGCCCTGGGACCCTTCATCTGATCTATAAAAAATATATATCTATAGGGAAATGGAGGGAATAAATGAAGAACAAAGTGGTTATACAAATATTAGACAATTGGTTACTCTGTTCTTTGCCTGCCATCATTTAGTTTTCCTCACCACTCACTATACTACATTCTCTTCATCTAAAACAAGTTTTACTTTTTTACCAAATATCTACAACGTGCTAGCATAGCCTCAGCTACTAAAATCTGTTTTCTCACTACAAGACTTTGGAATATATCAGTGAGAAAACAACAAAGTGAACTCTAAACCAATTCTAAGACATGGGCCTTAATTCCAAAAACTATCTCCCTAAGGAGCATTATTTCACAACATCTAATACATTCCACTTCTACAAAAAAATTAACATGTCACCAACTAAAACACAAAATTCGCTGAAAATAGACATTTCCTGAGGAAGCTAAGTTAACTTGGTGCTGTGCATCAACCTCGGCCCAACATAACTCAAATTTGTGCCTCAGCAAAAGTTACACATCATGCCACCACAACTCTCAGAGTTCCTGACTCTTCCACACGGTTCGAGGAAAAAATAGCGCAAAAAAAAAAAAAAAAAAAACCCTTAGGTATTTAACTGATTAAAGCACAAAGAAAAACTGGTTATTGTCACCATGCTACAGCCCACTTTGCCATCTCAATGACACGAAATGCCAAAAACACCAAATCTTTCAGAGGTTCTCTTATCATCATCAGAATGAGATCCTAGATGCTGGAGCCTCTAATCACCTCTGCAGACACTTTCTACTCCTCTCTATGCCTCGTGAGATCAGTTCCCTAACACGCCACACCTTTTCCACTTCCGGATCTTCAGTCACACTGTCTCTTCCCTTCTAATAATTGCTCTTCTTCCGGTCTTCCCATATTACCTTCACCTGGCTAACGTCTGAGGTCTTTAGCCTCCTTAGACCAAGCTTAACCTCTTTACAAGAGTATACCCACAACACCTTGTTCCAAAGCCACTAACCAGCAATTATTCAGCCAACATTTTCCCTCACCCTTCAACTGGAATCATAGCTTTTCTTATTCTGCATTGAATACCTTTGCCTAGACTGTGGTACCACCATGAAAGAACACTAGTAAAATACTCTTGATTAGTAAAAGAGGAATGTTTTAACGGAATAATTCATCAAAGAATAAGAGTCAAGCAAGGTGGCATATTCCTGTAATCCCACTCTTGGAGGCTGAGGCTCCAAGCCTAAATTTACCGGCTTTCCTTTACAGTCACTACCCTCACTCCAGCCACAAACTGGGGCCTTCAAATCTTAGCCTTCACACCAAGTGTCCAGCAATTCAATTCTAGTTTCCTATCTTTCTTAAAATCTGCTTTCTTTTTTCCACCTACTCAGCAACTGTCTTTCTACCTTAATCTATGTTTATAGCCTGACTCCCTAACTCCACTCTTGATCAACTGCCATCCAAACCACCAATTGTTGCCAAAATGATTGATTCTAAATACAAATCTGAGTTGGGGATATGGCTCAAGTTTGGTAGAGCACTTGCCTACCTAAGCACAAGACCCTGAGTTCAAAACCTCAGTACCATCAAAAAAAAGAGCAAATCTTTGTTATGTATTTTCTGAAATAGGTAGCTGATGCTCCCCAATGCTGCTTACAGAATACAAACTCTTCAGCATGGCAGTCAAAAAACTTTTGATCTAACTGCTTCCTATCACTGAACTTCTTCAACAGGCCCCACTTCCCATTATAAAACAACCAGCATTGCTGAATTTCTTGCACTTTCTCAATAGCATCTGCGTTCTCTCTCACTGTGCCATCTAAACTACCCCTCCCATCTGTTCACACTCTTTTATATTTCAGGACTTTCAATTTTGCTGGATATCAACTCAGGACTACAGTGCATGAGGCCCTTGGTTTAATCCTCAGAAACATACATTACACCACACACACACACAAAAAAGGGACCAGTCCTGACAGTCTCTGAGGAAGCCTTCCTTTACCCTATAGCCTTAAGTTAGAACCACTTCTCTCTATGCCTCTACACCATTCTATGTATTACCTTTTCCAAAGTACTTGACATTACAATAACTGGTTTTCATCTGTTTGTTCCCCTAGTGAACTTAACATCTTTCACTCTTAAACCCTCAATATCCAGCACGTGCCTAGCCACTTAACTAGCACTAATAAATGCTGTACAAATACATAAACACGAGTTTAAGATAAAAGAAGCTGGCTTACTGTCTTGTGAATGGCTTGCTGCGAATGCAAGACCTCCATGTAGTCCTCCAGTTTGAACTTGTAAGTAACCTGCAGGCCTTCTGAAGCCAAATTATCAAAGAAGTCACTACCCTATAAAGAGAAAAAAAAGAAATATCTGAATCAACCTATTTTTATCCTATTCACTGCAAGCAAATGACCCTTTCACAAGTTCTGCCAATACTTCAGACAATCCATTGTGAATGGGAGGCACATTGGTATTTAGAATGAGTAACAGATAAAGTTCATTGTATAAGCCTCTCAATGGGTTTAAAGATATTAAGAAAATACACAAACACATGTGCTCTTTTCTCTTCTCGCTCCTGGAAACAAGGCATTTCAGAAAAGCTATCAAGCATAAACTTAATACTAATTGTCAATTAAGCATATACTCCTAAGAAAGTATAGTTAGTAAGGCCTAAACTCAGAAAAAAAAGTATAAGTTTTGCTGCGGCCCATAGAGGCTCATGCTTGTAATGCTAGCTATTCAGGAAGCAGAGATCAAGAGGATCTCATTTTGGAGCCACTTCAGGTTCAAGAGCCCTATCGGAAAATACCCCCCCAACACAAAAACAGAACTGTGAGTGGGCTCAAGTGGTAGAGATTACCTAGCAAGTGTTGAGGCCCCTGAGTTCAAACCCTAGTAACCCCCCAAAATAGGCATGCACCACCATGGCCTGCCGTGGTAAATCCTTACCATTTAAATTAAACTATTCCACTTTTCATGTTTCCTGTGTTTCAATAACATTAACATAATGGCAGTTAAAGTCAAGCAAATATTTTCTTTATTCCATTTGCCTCAGTTGCTTCAAATTGCATAACTATTATATTATCAAAAGCCATGCAAGTTCAGGAAGTGGGCTCATGACTGAATCCTCTTTACTCAGGCAGGCCAAAGAATCAGGGAAGATCGTTGGTTCGGAAGCCAAGCCTGGAAAAAAAGTTCACCAAGAACCCTATCTCAAAAACACTCTTCACAAAAAAAAGGGGCTGGTGTGTGATTCAAGGTGTAGGCCCTGAGTTCAATTCCCCGGTTATTGCCAAGAAAAAAAAAAAAAGTATAAAGTTTTCTGTTCAATATTCTGTACTTAAAGCGACAGTACTTCGAGGTGGTAAAAATCTATCAAGACTACAGGTGCTGAAGCCTTTATCCCGAAGACAAATGATGCGTTTACCTCATCCAAGAGCTCCAAGAGTCTGTTCGAATCTGTTCTGGGGTTTCAATATTTGGCATCCTTTGAGAAGCTGCCTGAACTTTTCAATCACCTGATAGAAAGCATTCTTCCACAGGATCTGATCCCACATTCTGATTATCAGAGAATTTCAATGTCTAATAGAATTACAAGCGCTCATACAGCTGCAGTAGTTCAGCTCGCAAATTAAAATGCATAACGACTTCCTAGTTTTCCCAATAACATCAAAGGAAAGGGCCAGACCCAAGATTCGAGCTTTTCCTCCAATTAACCTCCTCCCTTGAAACAAAAAAATACAAAATGTGACCCGGTATCCTTTCACATTAGTTTGTATTCTGCACAGCATAACTGTCCAAAGGACAGTTATGTCTAAGAAAAATTAGTGTTTCCCGATATGTCCACAAACGTAATTAACAGCTGAAATAAGACTTCACTGCATGTTGTTCATCTTGGCATTCGGAAAAGTTCCTTCCTTTTCAAGATTTTATTGTTCCGGTTAAAGATAATTTTTTTTCTTAAAGAGTATTAAGTTATACTCATTTCTTTAAAACAGAACCAAAACTTCTGTTCTTAAACGGCACCCAAACAACGTATGCACATGTAATAAGCGAATAAAAAAAAAAAAACCAAAAAA